CTTGTGACGAAGTGATTTCGATTAAAAAGCATATATTTCAGTACCACTGGTGAATGTTCCTAAAAAGTGGCCAAAAATAGTAAATGAAATGTATTTAATATTTTAATATTTTCCGTCAAATCACAATTTTAATAAGATAATAAAATATAAAATATTTAAAATATCATTTCACGTTCCGCATCGAATGAAATGTAATAAATCCGATTAAAGAATATTACAATTCTAATCCAGTAAACTACTTTACAGTGAGACTATCATGACACGGGATAAATGAGTACAGATGGAGCTGTTGTTGGGGAAGATTGTCTTCGAACTGTTTGCAGCAAATACGGGGGAAAAAACGCCAATGAATTCCGTGTCTCTGCTGAGATGTGCGTTATCAGTACCAACATGACATTAATTTCGGCAAAATGAAAACTAGGCTAAATGTATTTTATGAAACTGGATCAGCTGGCAGTGTTTGGAGCAAAATCCCAAGAAAAATATTTAGAACTAACAGTAGCCGAGATAAAGTGTCAGAGATTGACTAACAGTTGTTAAATCAAAGAGGATTATATTGACAAGAGACGTAACAATACAGTAGTTGGGGAAAGTCAGGAATAGGCTGTTAACAAACAAACAAACAGACAGACAGCGACGTATTCCACTGCCTCGTGGCCTTCGCGTTTCAAATACAGTGTCTTCAGAAAAAGATCATTACCTGACAAAAACTCGACTCAACTCAATATTTCTCTTTTTCTCGGAGGTAAAGAGCATTATTTAGAAACTTTAAAATACTATAAAATCTTAAATCCCATTCTCAAAGAACAGGTTGCCATGAAAGTAAGAGGCAACACATCTGGGAAGTTCTTTGTTTGGCTGACAAAAGACTAACCTCAGTCACAGTTAAGCCTATTTTACGGACTTTGATTTAAATTTGGGAGATGCTTTAATTCTGGACCACTGAATTATTACAGGTTTTATTCAGTTTCTTCATGTTAATACCTCGATAACATCTTCAAATTCTCCTTTACCTCACGAACTCAGTCTTTGTGGGAGTATTATCTCATCTGACGCCATATTCTGCAGTTGAAACACAACTAAAGATTCGGTCATATGTCGAGACCATTTAATCGAAATAAAAGCAATCGAATACACAAAATAAAAGTAAACGCTGTAGGAACGTCAAGGTAGAGAGTGTGAAGTCCCTCCGAATTATTAGAGGTTACACCGGAAGCGGGGATTTTCCCCAACCACAGAAAGCAAGCTCAGTTCTTAGAACGATGAACTACGATACATTAAGCTGTGACGGTCATCATGACGCAGAAGCCCTGCCGAAAATTCAGCTTCTGATGGAACCCCTGCTCAGGAGCGGCCGATACATGGAAATCCGCGTCTTGACATAATCGAAATACGTCTCCCTAAACCTTATCTACAGTTTCCTGTACCTACTTACTACGTCAGCGATGACGTTATGTCCAAAACAGACACGCGTTATGACGAAGGTTAGTTCACTGCATCTCAATTACGTTGAACAACGCCAATTTTCTAATAAATATTTTATGTACTAGACGTTTCGGTCCCGACGGGGGCAGAGGATTTTTCCTCTAGCCTCTGCGTCCAGACCGGCTCTGGGGCCCACCCAGCCTCCTCTAAAATGGGTACCGGGGTCCTTTCCCGGGGGTAAAGCCGGCCGGGGCGTGATGCTGACCACTCACCCCCATCTAGTGCCGAGGTCAAGGAAGGGAGGAGCTATACCTCCTCTCACCCCAAACGCCTACATGGCGTAGAGTGGGACAAACTTT